ATAATGCAATGCTGATGCACCAGAGAACGGAGACCAAGTCAAGTGCTAAATGAACCAAGTAAAAGTTTACCATCAACCTTATCAGTAATACTAAACTTCTCCTTTACTTGGGAGCACTGAGCAAATGTTATTTTAATAGAAATGTAATTCTGTTTCAAGACAGCAGGTGCAATATGCTTGAGAAACAATATCTTCTTATTTGATAAGGCAACATGCAGACAAATAATGCTATCTGGCAAATTTACAATAAATTGAATGCTGCGCCTCTTTCATACTAATCAGTATCTAATCATTACACACAATCATAATGTAATCAAACTTTTTTTTTAAATATATTCACACAATATTTAAATGTAGGGAAAATATACCATAAAAATAGAATTGTTTTACTCAGGAAGGTAGAAAAAACACCACAGGAATCTGAAGTGATACCTCCTTTCCCCCCCCAACGTGATAGAAGTTTTTTACAGTTTATTCCCTTAACTAAATGACAGCTTGATGTGCTCTGCTTACCAAATCTGATTTTCTTAATAGCAGATCTTAATAAAAGAAAAGCATGCAGTGGCTTTCAGTCTGGACACTTATTCTCTAACAAAAGTGGGCTGCAGACTCCTCCTGGCACAGTGAGGTCCCAGATCAGGAATTCCTGAAGTTTTGTTCACGGAAAGTTCATTGCAGTGCAGTGGCTGTGTAAAACAGCTCTAAGAACAGCAAGCCTCAGGCTGATGTTGATAGTACAGCCTCCCTTGCCATTAAGTGAATCCTATCAGTCCCCAGTGGAAATATTTCACATCCAGTGGAAGCAAAACAAATGGTTCCCAACACAGCAAATTAAACACCAAAAAAAGCCTATGTACATCTAGCAACCAAGCTGTCAAATCAACTGCTTTAACATTGACAACAGCTATAAACTCAATGTGGGGATGAATCTGATGGATCTTCCTCTAGGAAACTTGGTCTGTCTCAGGCTGCTTACACTACTTGTACCACAACTGAGTTGCATCTATTGTGTTTTCAGTTTATAACATGAAACCCTCAAGATCTCCAGAAAAGAGACATAACCCCATGATTAGCTGGACTTCATTAAGCATCTCTAGAGATGGCTGGAAGAGCTCCCCTTGGCAGAAGGGGATAAGCAATGCCCTGAAGACAGTATCAGTAAAAGCAAAGGAGTATCTAAAAGTTTATGCAGTTCTCCCCCACAGCTCTCATCTCTAGTGGCCTGAAGCCCCCAAAATGGCTTCAGCTATCCAGCACTGGAAACGTTCCCTCTCCCAGAGAAAGTAAGGATGGCAACTGATTCTGGCTGGGCAGCATCATCCAGTTTGTGAATCTTTGCCCAGGGTTCAAACTGTCCACATTTAGTCAAGATTCAGGTTAAATTGCTGGCAAATTTTTCTCCTGATGAGACAAGAATTTAATCCAGAAACACTGAGGCATTTTCAAATCCCGTAAGGCCACAAGTGATGACATATCAGGGACAGACAGGCAAGGGAGAGAAGCTAACAGGGACCCCTATGCCTATCCAAGGTCTTACACTTAGGATAAAAGCCTGCTACAGTCTAATTCATATGAAAACCGGACACAAATCCAGAGTCTCAGCAAAACCCAGTGGTTATCCAATACCTGAATATGTGCACACTGGAAGCCAGTCTTATGGTACCTGGGTGGGCCGGCAAATAACATGCCCTATTCCCTTCCTAGTAGAGTTTCCCAGTGAGCACAAATACTTGAAGTGCCCTGTCCCACCATGTAAGCTGCAAATCTCCTCTTCAAGGAGACAGCAACATACCATCATTACCCAGCCACCCTTTGGCTGCAGCAGCTGCCGGAGAAGCACAGACCTCCAGCCCTAAATCCCTATCTGCAGCCACCAGCTGTCCTTAAAGGCAGTCAAGCAGGAATGAACTGCTGACACCTCCTGCTCTACTAACAGCTCTGAACACAGTGTGCTTTGTGCTCCCACAGGAGGCCAGAGATGCACTTCCTCAGGTGCCCTGTCCTGCAGGAGGGATGCGATCAGAGCAGGCACCAGATCCAGCTTGCAGGCCATCTGGCAAGCCACGATGCTGCCTCTGATCGAGAGGAGGCTTTGAGCCAAGAATCAGTACCAACTGTTTTACTGGAAACATCTCCAAATATTTTCCAGCTACCGTTGAAAATAATATCATCTAACAAGGCTGTAACAGCTACTAGCTCCAATGGAGGTCTCTCTCTTACAACTGCACACCATGAGAAGACCCTGTGCTGACAAAATCTGCTGGGGTTGTGACAGCAGCTAAGAAATTAGCAAGTCAACAATAAGCAACAAATAGAAGCAAGTACGCAGAGCAGACAGGATCAGGAATACCAGCACTGCCTGATATTTACTTAATGACTCATAGAGAGGAGGATCCATCCATTTAGGCTTACTGACCAGTATGTGAACAGGTAATAGAAGAGTTTATGAAATCACTGGAAGCTCAGCTCCTCCTGACCTCAGAGAATAAAGAAGCTTTATAGCAGCAAAACATCCTCTTTTCACTCTCCCTCTTTCTTTACCCTGTTGCACAATCTTCCTGAAAAGATTAGAGCTGCACTTTTCACAAGATGTGAAAGCAGAAGAAAGAGGAGAGAGCAAAAGGAAGAAGAGGTATTTCTGTTCATCCACATCAACAGAAAAATACAGACTACACCAGAATAAATATTTCCAAGTGAGATTCCCTCGTTTTCAAGATTTTTTTTGGCAAAAGGGTTCACAGATAACATCTTTACTTTCAAAACATCCTTCATCCACACATGAACAGCATGTGGTATAACTACGGACTTCTGCAATCACTCAAACATCACAAGACCATTTTAATATTGGAGATCATTATACAGATAGTTATTTGTGCAGAATTAATAGACTGCACTTAAAATATCCTTCCCTCAAAAAACAACTGAAGATCATTATACAAATACGTAACCATTCACAGCCTCTTTACATATAAGGAATGCATAATGTAGAAGAAACTATGGCACTCCAAGATCTACAAGCATGTTTTGAATGCTTAGACTGCAAACACAGTACAGCTAAAAATTGTTATTTCTTCCATATACACGGAAAACACTCAACTTACTTACAGATCTTGGAACACATCCTACTTTTCTGTAGCATTAGATTAGCTTCCACATTATTAGGTAGAAAGTGTGAAACATCCATAGCAAGTTCCTATTTAAAGTCTTCCAGGAGTTCTCGGTGTCTAACTACGTATAACAAAAGAAACTCAAAATCCAGTTGTCCCAGCTGACAAAAAAAGATATTCAGTTGACCTCAGTTTGTACTTTTGAGCACTTCAATATGACTTTTCCCCACACGTAGCTATAAGGAACACCCAGGGCAACACACTTACAATTAATGAAAAATTAATCAGAAGCTGCTCATTCAGTAACATGGACCCAGTACAACAAATCACTTTCATCCAGGACTAATTTTCCATATAAAAGTCCCATGACTCTAATGTATATAAATTAAGTTACTCATACATGTTCCCAAAACATTCCACAGCTCATCCTGTTGAATCTGAAGAGGACACTTGCAAAACACAGGCAACTAGTCAATATAAGAGAACCTTTTAGAACTTGGTAACACCTTTCAGTTTGGGTGTTTCAGGTTTCCATCCTTTTATGCAGAATTGTGCAGATTATACCAGAGACCAAATAGCACAAATGAACGTGAACAGTATTTCTTTCTCCAGCTACAAATCTTTTCTTCCTCCAGTAGTAAGGGCCCCTGACATTGCATCCCCTCCTACCTCTGTCAAGTACTACACTCATGAGAGGCTCATCAGCACTACCACATACACAAACATTTAAGAAACTCACATGGATAATGAGAGACAGCTTCAAATCTGAAAAAACACAGGAAAACCGAGTTCAGTGTAGGCTGAATTTCTACCAGGCCTTTTTCCTCACACCGAAAAGGATTTGCGCACAAGAGGCCTGTGACTCCAATGCTGGACATTTTAGAACAATTTCTGTGCAGACAGAATGACAATTGACAACCACCTAGACCTATTTTTCACCATTTACACTCCACTATTAGCTTTGAGTTCATAGGTGCTAGGTTGTTCATACCAAAAGATAGAAAAATTAATTATCAATAAAGTAACCAACAGAAAAACAAATTTATTAGCCTAATTAAAAATCACAATTAATGCTGCTAAGCAGGCAAACTTAGGTTTACATAGGCTCATGGCTTCCTTTTATATGTTATTTATTAAAGTGACAGTAAAGTCTAAACCAAGATATTTTAAACCTTAACTGTTTGTCTCAGAAATCCTGGTTTTATTTCAATGTTGAGTGCAGGACTTGCGTAACATTTCCCATTTTGATTTCTGTTATTAAAGGATTTTAAAACAATACTGTACGGTCACTGACTACAGTCCTAAGGGGCTGAGTACAACAAACATAAAAGATATCACAATCTCTACAAAATATAATTTTGATTTAATTTCATTCAAGCATTACGTTCTTTACTTTGGGGAAATTAATTTACCATCTTTGACAGCAAGCACTCTTCTTCAGCTACTCTGAATGCTGATATTATCATCTGAGGTACAACTGGAACAGAGCTTGAAAATGCCTTACCTAATTTAATACATTCACCAAACTAAACAAAAGTTTGTCTTACAAACTTAATTTTCTCATCCTGCAAATAACACACCTGCTTTTCCTCCACTCACCAAAAAATATCCACGTTCCCATTGGTTCACCTCTTTCCCTAAGCACTCTAGCTTTTTCAAGTGCTTCCAAATTAATGATAATTAATTGGTATGGTGGAAAATATTACCTACTTCCTAAATATTTCTCCCAATGATGAAATACATATTTTCACAAGCATGCTTCTATGGGCTGTGCCAGCCCAGAAAGGCAGTTGCACACTAAGCTGAAATGCGGGCAGATCTATCTTTGGGAAGGCTGATGGTCAAGGCCCAAGACATTGGGTAGCTCATCTGTCACATACAAAACCTACTCACCTTCAAGACTTGTTAGTTTCCAGTAGAAAAGTGTGAACAGGCTCATTTTGGAAGATGTAATGGTCCATCAGTTTTTGTCGTTAACTCTCTTTGCTCTTCCTCTCAGAAACTGGTATTCTGGAGATATAAAAAGAACTTCAATTTAAAATACAGCACTCTCAGATAAAGTTACTATGTTACATAAACATTACATTTTTCCTGCTTTTTACTGTGCACACTGAAAGGTCACCTGAAACCAATCTGATGGGTCCAGTCACTGAATTGCTATGTTGTCTTATCCCAAAGAAGGCAGCAAGGGCTTCTTTCTTTACCTCTGCGACCCTCACAGCTTACACATTTACCATCTACATTACAGTAGCATATTGAGAATTTATCCTAAAGATTGGGAATGGGGAAGTGACATTTAAAGTCATACTGGTGCCAGAACTGAGAATTACACTGTGTTATCAAAAGTCCCTTTTCACCTTGTCTGCTACGTTTTACATACTGACATATATTTACTACACTTAGGTTTATCTCAAAAGCACGAACACTGAACTTTTCTGCTTAATTTTGCCAAGGTCCCCTCAATAATAGATTAGCTTCCATAACCTCATTAGAGACACTTGGTTCCAACTGTGCAGCACAACCAGGGCACTTCTTAGCCTGCCTGGGATTCTGAGGAGTTTGATATATGTTTGGAAAATAAGGCTGAAAAGGCAAAGCAAAAGCACTGGGATTGTCGATGAGCAAATGCCACATTAGAAACAAATTCCTCAAGAGGCCCATTTTGCAGCCAAAATAATTAGATCACTAGCAAGAATCATCCCAAGTAGATAAATGGTGTGTTACGAGATTAACCAAGGTCATGTTCTCTTATATCCAGCTTTTTAAAAAGATTCCTCCCCTGAAAACTTAACCCTAGGGCTCCATCCAAATTAAGAAATTCATTGTTGATGTACATCAGTACAAACTGAATCAAAGCACGCTATATAGCCTGTCAAGTACTGACTGCCCAAGGAAAGGACACATGCCTTCTAAGTGAGAGAAATCCACATTTGAGAGCCACCTAGACTCTGTGACCGCTGCTGCTGGATGTTCAGAGATAACTGCCAACTCATTAAAATCCAACATTAAAAGTTTATTAAACATACAAACGTTAATGGAATTGGACTAGCAGCTACTTCGGCAGATAAACTTTCAACACAGCATGTCCTGCAGTTCTTGTAATCAATATTCTGTCCTTCTGGAAGTGTCCATGAAAGAGTCACAATGCTACTCAAGGCAGTGAAACCTCCATCTCTTTTAGATTACTCAGGTCACACTCTCAAGGTTCCCACTAGCCAGGAAGCCTAAGAAAACACAGCTACTTCCCAATAATTACAGCGGGGAAAAAAATAATTAGAGGGAAAATCCATTTTCCCTTTCACACTCGACTGCTTGAGATGCATAGTCTCCTCAAGATTTTTTTTTCCCCCCCTTTGGCCATATCTGCAGAACAAGTCCCACACCTCTTTGCAGGCTCATGGGTATAGAGGTTTTGCATTTATCCCAAACTCCCAGTTCTTGTCAACCTGCTGCTGGAGTTTGAAAGAACTACAAAGGGAGAAGGAGTAGAGTGTCATATAGACAATATAGGTTAAAGAGCATGAGCCACTTAAAAGCAGCTCCCTTGTAACTTCAGGTAACTTTCTGCATGAACAATGTGTGTGTAAAGCTCTGCTTGGAGCTACTCTTTCGCAGCTATCTAAAAACAAGCGTCGGAGTCCTCCATGCAAACAGCAATCTCAGTACATTTTGCTCTACAAAATGCAGTTTCATTCCTGGATGACTCTGCAAAGTCCCAACGCTTGGTGAGTATCTCAACAAACCTCCAGGTTTTTGCTGTAGAGTGACATCAGACTTGGAAGTGTTCTTCACTAATACTATCAGCATAATCTGAGCTAGCCCAGGGGGAAAGGAGGACAAGGAATATCTCTCATCACGCAAAGCATAAACAAGCTCCTAAGAGTCTCTAATGCATGTCCAAGTGACTCTGGCAATAGCCTTGCTCTCTCAGTAGTAGCTTCAAAGAACATCTGGAAGATTTAATCCTCTAATTATGAAAAAAAAAAGTCTTCTCTCAATACACAAGTGTGGTATAGCACCTCTGCCTTGGAGATATGAGGTTTCAGAAAAAAGACTGAAATGAAGTCTTAGGGAACAATCTGGAAAAAGCATGACTCACCAGGAAAAAGCATGACTTAACAGGAAAGAAGAGAAATTAAGGAGTATGAAGTACTGTGACCTCCAAAGAAAACGCTGAACTCTGAGCACAAAGAAGGGAAACTGGCCATTGGCTGAGCACGTTCTTTCCTACCATCTTTCCTGGTACTGATTACAGTCTCATACTGGAGATGAGCAGGCTGTTTTAAGTGTCAAGCACTACCCAGCACCCAGCCTGTGCGATGCAATGCAAATCTGAAATTAGGGTTTTCTTTTCGTCCTGCAACCATACGGGCCTCCCACAAAACAGGCAAAAGGTTCAAGGATGCCTTGGCCAGGAGGGAATCAACGAAACTACCCATCCATCATCTGATACAACACAAGGCATTGTGTGTCGCAGAACCTTGAGTAGCAGCCAATTTGAGGTCAGACATACAATGGCCTCCCAGTCCATGAATCAGGAAGACTGGGCTTAGATTTAGATTTTTCGAAAGAGAACTGACAGTTCCTGTTGGAAATGAAGGCAAAGAGATGGACTTCAAGGTAATCCAGTTTCTGAAGAGGGCACTGACCAAATCTCACACTCGGAATCTGTGGAATGATCTTTGCTGCTTCAGCGTGTTCAGAACCACAGGAAAGCAGCCAGCTCACCAGCAAGCTCAAGGCACTGGTCCCAAGATCAACCATTCCCTGACAAAGCAAAGGAAAACCCATACAAATCCTTTCATCTCTTAGGGACATCATGACGACCCTTTCTGTTGCAACTTGTACATTCTGGCCCTAGACACAGGGGAAAAAATGACCCTGCAAACATTCCCTATGGCTCCAAGCGCTAAGAGGCTTCTATACAGATATCTCATCAGTCGACTGCCTACCTGGTCATCTTACTGAGCTCCTGAACTTGACTGCACTAATCACAAGAACACATCAAATCAGTTAACCAGCACCAGTATTTCCTCCCATTACAGACAGGCAGGTACATTGAAACTACAGGACATCGTACCTTGAGGAATGTAAATAACCCATTAGAAGAACGCTCTATTTGTAAGTGAGCCAGGAAGGTCAAAGTACTCTGTGTCAGCTATATGACATACTACCCTTCATTTCAGAAGATACGAAAAGAGAGAAGTCCTCCCAGCAATCCTATGAGTAAAGCAACTTTTAAACATTCTCATTCCCAAAGGGGTATCCTAATGCCACCAAGCAACACCGCAAACTTTAGCATTCAGGTTGTTACAAGGAAAACAAGCAGAAAACAAATGATACTAAGGAAAACTCCGAAATCAATCTGCTACCTGCTGAGGTCCATGGCACCACCAGCATGAGACCCCAGCACTACGTTTTCTCCACGTCCACCAACATTCAGGTGCTTGGCTGATCTGAAGCCAGCAGCAGCGCTGGATACACAGCACCAGTGGGAAACCGCTCTTTGAGGCACACCCGAGTAATCCAGAAATAGAGAGGGATATAACTGAGAGGAAACTTCATCCCCTTTAGCACTAAGCTGTCCTGCCACAGACCAAAGGCCAAAACTGTAGTGGCCACAGCACCAGGCACCAAGTAAGACAGTGACAATGCAACCTAACAAGATAGGCTGGCACAGTGATCCGGAGCTGCGGATGTCAGGGGCATTGACCTTTATCTATAAGTCATAGGGCAAATCTGTTGAGTTAAGATAGGAGCAGCCACAGCTCACAAGTCTCTGAAAGGTGGACAAGGTGTTTCCTGGCAACAATAACAAACCAACGGAGTAAAATGAATGTTTTCGCACCAACTTGCTGCTGGATGACCCCGCTAACACCCCTTTGCAGAAGACAGGATCCTCTCTGACAGAACCGCCACCAACAGCTGATCCAGCACAGTGACACCAAAGCTGACACTGCTATACTCCCCTCTGCTCGGCTCTGAGGTTAGATAGGCTGACCACCTTCTCCCCAAGGGAACTCCAAAAATAGCACACACTAACTCAATGGAGTCTATGCCTGAATAAACCACAGGCAGAGGTCTTTGTTCACAGCTCACACCACAGCAGTACGCTCATTCAGTAGATGGATGCAAGGAGAAATGTAGGCCACACATGCAGAGAAAAAGAGATATCCAGACTTCAGAGACATCATAGATCTCATTTGCAGAGTCAGGGAATGAACACCCATTAAAATAGCCTGCAAGTGCTGGGGTACAGCTCAATATGAACCAGATGGGCTAAGGGAAAAACACGCTTCATCAGAAAGTTAAAAATTCGGGGGTTTTTTCCCACTAAAATGCCCAATGAATCATTAAAGAAAAATCTTTGTGATGTAACTATACAGACTTATACAAAGAACACTCATAATTAGCTCTCAAAGTAATCTTCTGACCACCATCTGGAGTTCAGCCTAAATCTTGACCTCAGTCACACCAAACACCCATGAATCTTTGAAACACACCTGAAAACGAATCACATCGCAACATTAAATTCACAAAGTGGAAAAAGTTGACAGGAATGCTAAAAACCTGAACCACCTTTTACTCCACCGGCTCTTCACAGACAGCTCTATAAATGCACGTTCCAGAATATCCAGAGAGTAAGCAAGGAGCAATTCATGCCCATTGCAGTTAGGGAAATGGTTTCAAAATGAATAAGTAAAAAGGCAGGATTTATGAACCCAGTCCTACATCTAAAACAAAAGGTTTCTTCCATCGAAACCTCAGTTTATAGCAAACGAAATTGACACATGACATACCTGACCTTCTCCCAATAACACCGGAGGAAAATCTTCCTAGAACTAGATTCTGACAGTAAACCAGACTTACCAAGATATAAAATAACTTATTCCCTGACCCACGTATAAACAGCTCAAAATATCTTCCTATTAAAGGATGCAGAAATTCCTTCACCTAAAGCACCTTAGATGACCGGCTGCTAACAACCTCCTGATTAGCTTGAAACTCCTATTCCCCACTGACAAATAAGAAAGTCTAAGATGCCTCCCACCTACAAAGCCTCTTAGCTCGAGAAAAATGGGTTTTCTTTAATATACGGCTCTGTGTTGCATGCTGAGCTCCCCACAGCAGAGCATTCAAGAATGATACATGCCACATCACTGAGGAAAAAAATTTATCTTGTCAGTTCCAGAGGTTTTCTTCTATTTTCACTGCAATTTAGCAACCAGATTTTAGACCTTTGTAAGAAAGCCCACAGCAGCAAGGAAAGAGGCATGGAGCAGGCTGGAAATACTGAACCAATTACGCTTAGTTCATATTTGAAAGTGAGTCTTTGCAAGAATGAGAAATGTTTTTTTTTTTTTCAAGTGATCATGTGTATAAAACACAAAGAGCCTTCTATACTGGGAGGCATGGTCCCAGAGACGAGACCTCCTGACAGCTGGCACACAGAATTCCTTCCAGCTAAAGGTATGTTTAAGTATAAATAAGAGCAAGATTAGAAAGGACCACCAGATTTGGCATCAGCAATGAGACCCCAAATTCTAGTCATTTCACTATCTACAGAGAGACAGAGAAATACTGTCACAACCCCCAGGTACAAACCTACTCACATCATGCTGCAGAGACTACCAACACTGGGCATGAGTGTATTACAGGAAGGTTTACGCTTATGTAGTTAAAGACTACACTGCAAAAAACATTAACATGTTTTACATCCCTATGTCACACTTTTCTTTAAATGGCATTTTAATTAATTTTTATCTTCCACAGAGACAAGAGACAGAGGAATTAACTCTACATTTAATGGGTTACAAGCGTCACCAAGCTGAGCCTCCCTTGCGATCATTAGCTGCTTCTGTGCATAGCTAGACTGGCTTCAGTTTGGTAGGAGGTAATTTTAGTTGTCATTATCTTTGCCACTATACCTTTCTCCTGGCTGCAGCTTTGGCAAGGGTTACACAAGACCAAAGTCCTATACAGCAAGTGAATATTTAACTTAAGCACTGCACTGTTGAGACCCGCCTAGAGTATTTGATATAGTAACTTATTAAATCTTACACTATCTTTTCTAACAAAGAATAATAAAAGACAATTTATCTTCTTTATGAGAAGTTGTAAAGATAAATTCTACAAGGACAGCAGTTAGATTAATCTTTAATAATTTTAATAAGGGACCTAAAAGAAAATGTTTCCATAGAAAGAGTTCTAAACAATATGATGTGTACACTGCAGAATAGGTTCAAGACAGGGGCAAGAGCCACGGCACAAAAATCATTTAAACCACACCAAGTTCTGGAAATTCAGCACTTTTTCAAGAAGTAGTATTTTAACACTGCAATTAAGCCATTAAACTATGTCACAAAGGCTTATATAAAACTCTTGGACATTACAAGGAGAAGTATTTATTCTCCACTAAATATCTGAATAAAATCTATGAGCTGCTGTACAAACAAAGACTTTAAAATAATACAATAAACAAAAGACTGATTTTTGTTTTTCAGGCCGATTGTTCTCAGTCTTAGTGAAGCTAACCAAACTGTTTAGATCCAAAAAAAATTCTTTGCATGCCTCTGATGTAAATAAAGTTTTGCTAATAGCCTCATCTTTTATCATCTTTTTGGACAGAGATCTTTCTGATGTCAGGAACAGCTGTTAAAATACTGTTCAGACCAAAACTGAGCAAATGAGAGCAATTTTTTTTTACTACATGTTTCAATTCTTTATCCACCTGTTTTTTGTGTCTGAATGTAATTTCTTTATTTACTGCTAGTACTCCCATCTTTACATTTAGCAACAACTGCTTCTGTTCTCTAAAACTGAACATCTGTTTTAGCAGTTATTGGTGATAATCACCACAGGTCAATTTCTAAAAATTCTCCAGTTCTACATTTGTAACCTTCCACATGTACCAGTTTGGTCATCACCCAAAAGTAAACTTCTTCAGGAAACAAAAAAATATTTCAACTTGTGAAAGAGTGGGGGGGTGGGGGGGTGGGGTGCTGAGAATATTAGCCACATCATGAAATAAGGAGACAGTATTGCACAGCTTTCATCTAAAAAAAAAACAAAACAAAACAACAACCAAAAAAAACCACCAAAAAAAACCCCCCACAAACACTAGGCCAGCTCACCTGTCCAGGGAAGTGCAGCCTCAGGGAACACTTTCACAAGCAGCTTAACTGATTTTGATCCATGACACTGCCTAATGGGCGGACCTGCCTCTCCCTGTTATATACACTAGCATTAGTACAGACACACAGTCAGCTCCATCAGTTCACTTTCTGTGTGGTGCTAATTGCTGGTTGGTTTGGCGGATGAATCCAGCCAACCATACAACCACTTCCTTATACCTGCACACAAGAGGCAATGAAAATGGACTATCAGAGGGCTGGAAAAGAGGTGCGCAGGGCCACCCTTTTCAGCAGTAACATCATCTTAAACCTGCTCTCTTGAAATTCCATGCTTACTGATACATATAGTTACCATGAAAATGTAACCTTTCACATCCCAAATGCCTGCTTGGAGCAATCAGATCAGGAATCAAATCCATCCCAGAGTGAATGCAGAAAGTATTTATCTTTATTTTTTCACTCTGCTTTGAGAATGAGATCAGTATTTTAAGACCAGTCTATCTCCGAACCAGTGAAACTAGAGGATAAAAGAAGAACAACTGCAAATGAAGTCACAACAAGGTCTTAGTAGTTTCCAGCAGCAAAACTCCCACAAAGCTCAAATGAGAAAGGAGGCTGACAGGTTCCTATCCATTTCCTCTAAAGGTTTTATTTTCATTGTACTATGCTTGCAAGCGTTATTTATATCCATCTCCATCCACTTAGCAAAAATAAGCTAGCGGTACTGGATTCTGCCCTGGGAACTGCTTCTCTCTATAAGGCGGCAAGATGCTGTCTTCCTTCACAGTTTTAAGTGCTGCCCTTCTTACCAGTTATCACTTGTTTCACTCTATTGGGCTAATCCAAGATAGCCCAAGCGAAGTCTCTGCTAAAGCCATCCCTTTCACTCTTCCAATCTTCTGCCAGATGAGAGAAGCATTGAAATTACTACACTTTCTTTTTTTTTAACTGAACAGGGCACAAAACCATAGAAGCTTGTGCTGATTTTTTTTTGTCAACAGCCTCTGGTATGTTTTGCTCAGACAGGATTACAATAGCCACCACAGTCTTAACTCAATAATTATCTGCTTCAGATTCTGTCTGGAGATTTACTTAAACGCTTCCTCCCTCCCGGGAAGAGGAATTAATACCCTGCGATTGTTCATCTGCCTTAAAATAGGCATTACCAACACCTGGCTTCGCTATAGAGCCGAGAAACAGCTAGTGCCACGGATGCAACTCTAACTTCTTTTTTTAAAAACGAAAAACTCCTTTTTGTTTTTTAAATACGCAAGCGTGGAAGCTACGCGCAGGAGCGGACAAATCCTGGCTCGACCCGGGCAA